CCCACCAGCACCCCCACACAAGGGGGGGCGGGCAGGCGGATGGTACCAAGAGCATGTCGGAAGACAGCGACGCGGAAGCGGGCAAGCGAGGGGGGGGCGGGAAGGTCGTGGGCGGAAAGAGGCGTTTTTCGGCGAGGGGGGACAAGGCCGAGGACCCCGGAGATGCGGAGGACGTTATTGGTACCAAGAGGCGCGGTGCCCGTGGAGCCGATGGAGACAGCGGCGCTGGTGGGCGAGCGAAGCGAAGGAGGTCTGCGGACGCCACGATCAGCGCTTCTGCGGTAAGCGACCCCGTGGATCACGAATGATTGTACAACTATTTAGGAGTAGACGCGAGGGACTGCTGTGAGGGGAGTGAGTCAAGTCGGGAAGCAAGAGTCGATTGTACCCGGTGCTACCAGAAAATTTTACGGTTTGAGCGTTCCCCATGCCCCCCCTCTGTTTTTTTTGCGGTAACCAGATTGGTGGTCGAGTAGATTATGTTGTGCGGGGTCGAGAACCCTCACTCCGCGCACAGGGGACGATCGCACCACGTTGTGTTCAGTTGGTCAAGCACCTTCGAGGCAGTACACAGTGCTTATTACCGTCTCTGGAATTGAAAGCATCAAAAATAAATCAAGTCATCCGTATGCAGGAAGTAAGCACAAGATGCCAAACACCCTTTGCAGGATGCAGCGCACCCTTCATGCGACCCGCCGAATACCTCACGGCGCTTCGCGCTTGGTGATGTGAGAGCCTGGTCCGGTGAGAACCCGGCGTGCTCCGTCCCGGCTTAGTATTGATGCGAGGTCAATGGTCTAACGACTATGGCATGCACGACGGCGAGTACACCCCACCCCCACCCCCGGTTGCCTGCCCACACTTTTCCCGCGGGCGGCGTCCCAACCGAGGGCACGGACAGTCGATGCTCTGATTCCTGTCTTACTAGACACGCCATCCTGCGTTCCACACCCTGCGTACGCTCGCCCAGCAGGTGGAGACCTTCTCTGTCGCTAACGGGGACAACGCGCCAGAAGAACGCTCCTCTCCTCGAGCGGCCGCCGCCGCTGCCGCCGCGGCTGCCGCTGCTGCCGCTGCCGAAGGCAAGGCCAAGCCGTCTCGAGGCGCTGGGAAGCGGGCGTATACGAGCCGGTTAAGCTCGAGGGGAAAATCCGGGCGTAGATAGTACCGCAGCTTCTTTTTGGTTGTTGGTGGTGCTTGCGTGCTGCGCGGAAGAGACTATTTGGCGGCTTGTTTAGCTAGCCTACCTACGGAATCAATCACGGAGTAGACGCAGCAGAGAAGAAGGAGCATGAGAGCTGATGAGCTCGCTCGTCGCTCGTGAGCAGGAGAAGAACACACACATAGCCAACACAGCCCCGCCCGGCAGCGGACGGGTGCCCGCTGGGATATTCGAATGGGTTTCGATATTGTGTCGGCGTGCTTTCCGACCGACCGGCTATTACTGATACCGGGTGCGTTTTTTGTGTTGCAGTGGATGGGCCTAGCCTCCCGGCATCCGTTTTAGCCCCTGTCAAGCCTGACCGTGGGTGGGTGGGAGGGTGTAAACAAAGGAGACAGGGTCCATCCATCATGTATTTTTAGAGATTCTTGGCGTCTTGCCTAGTTTGGCAATGCATGCTGCTTGGAGTTGGGTGTTTTGGTGAATGAACTGCAGCAATTGGTGATCGTTTTTGAGACTGATTCTGGGGAGCGCGCTGCCAATAAGGTGACCCTCGACCGTCTCTCTCCGCCGGGAGTATGGATCTCCGTAGAGGTAGACCGGGATCGGTTTGCTCTCGTGGACTGGGTAGGGTTAGAATTGATGGAAGCGGACATACAGCAGCAGTGGGAAAGTGCCGTTGGTTTGTTCTTTTTACGAGTCACGAACCGGTTGGCGGAAAAGGGCTAGTATAGCGCTTGTTCACCCCAGGTGGCTTCGTTGATCCTTGGGCGGCGCTGTACAAAGGGATACTGAAGCAAAAGCAACCCAAGTGCTTATTCATTCGACCATGGCTGTTTTGATCACAAGATATTCTCAAAGAAAAGCAGTTACTTGATGTCAAAACTTGTTTCATGTATCAGAAGTAGAGGTGACTCCGCAGCCAGCACCTGGTAGGTAGAGGGAACGGGTGGGTGTCCCCTGACTGACGTTTAGCCACTTGTTGCGTTGTTTCGGGAGAGTAAACCAGCTCTTCCTGTTGCCCGGGGAGATTAGGGTGGGCAAAAAGCGCTCGCGGGTCCGTGTGCTTCACCTGGTGGTGTCCCCATTACCCCCGGAGTAAGTTGGCCTGGTGAGATGCATACGTGTCTGTCCAACCGGGGGGGTGTTTTGTCTGTCTCCTGTTCGTCTAGAATGCCCCTTGTGCTGCGGTAGTACAAGATTTTCGTGTTGTTCATGTTTCGGTGTTTATTTCGTAAGGGAGTTACACCGGGAAGGCCTATCCTTTTGTCACTACAAGCTGGACAGGAACAACACCTTATGAGTCCTGTCTTTGTCCGCCGTGTGCTCCCCCCCCCCCCCCCC